AGCAAAATTCGGAACACACTCCCGATAGCCAAGGACAAACTAACTCCATTAAAAGGAGCGGGAGTCTATCGACTATCGTGTAGTTGTGGGAAGGTTTATGTTGGCCAAACTGGACGCAACGTCGAGTGCCGCATCAAGGAGCATGAGAGGGATGTAAGGCTGAAGAAGATCCAGCAGTCGGCGGTTGCGGAACATTGCCATGCAGAGGGGCACCGAATAGACTTCGAACAAACAAAGGTGCTGGCTAGGGACAACAGATACTACCAAAGACTGACAAGAGAAGCCATAGAGATTCACCGACATAAAAATAACGTCAACAGAGAGGATGGCTGGGAGCTTAGCAGAACATGGAAGATGGTGGTGAACACGAAGACCTCTTCCCGCCTCACACCGGACGCGACGCAATTAGTTATTAATTAGCTTGTAATTAGCGTTAACTGATTATTAATTAGTTTTTCCGACTTATATATAGTCACCGATTTTTGATCTCGTCACTTCGAACCAGTTTCTGAAGAAGGTTGCAACATGGCATCCGAAACGTCAAACCTTTTATTAAAAGACGCACGGCAAAACCCGAAAGTTTCTAGTTTTAGTTTAATTCATGTGACTTGTTGCGTTTTGTAAAAAGGCTCCTCATATACTTTATACGTTTGAATTTAATATTAAATGACAGGCGTCCACGAGTGGGAATATTAGCAACAGGTGATGCATTATATTCACAAAACACCGCACATTCTACTCCTGGCCATTCCAAAAACTGTAACAACTTACTCTTATTGAATCTATTGAAAATATTTGGTTACCATGCTAATGATCTCGGAATTGTAAAACTTAAGTAAGTATAGTTGCATTTACTTTTAACATAGTTTCATTATTATATCTTTATAGTCCAAGTTTATTGAAACAAGCATTACTCAAAGCCTTTGCTCGACACGATGTTATTATAACAACCGGGGGTGTCACTATTGATGAATATGAAATGATAAAGGAAGTTTTGGAACTAGATTTTGGAGCCTTTATACGTTTTGGTCGAGTTGAAATGGAACCGGGGTAATTACATACCGATATAAATTATATTGCACTATATTACAACTTTATATATTAGGTATTTGACAAGTTTTGCAACATGCTCTTTTAATGGTTCTTCTTAATTTATTTTTGCTCTACCTGGAGATTTCGCTTCAACAATGATTTCATGTAGATTATTAATCATTCCTGCATTGCGAAAATATGAAAAATGTTTACGTGATCCATATAGCTATTATCCAGTTTCTTATTGTGCTGTATTATTATAATTCTTTTTATCCGATTTGCAACATTATAGAGATTAATATATCTATTAATAAAGTTTGCAATTTTAGAGAAACGAATGTATAAAAGATAGTGATCATCGAAATTTCAAAAGAATAATGTTAACAAAGAGAAAAAGTGATAAGAATACAGAAATTGTCTTAAGTAATAGAAATGATTGCGTTTACAACAGCTTGAAAGAATTTGCTGGAATATTAATTATTCCGGAAAACACAGAAATCGAATATGAAAAAACAAAAACTTTATGTTTTTGATGTTTGTTTATGACCTGGTGTCGTTATATTTTCTAACCAATACATTCGAGTCGATACATTCACTAGGACAGGCAAAAACTAACTGACTGTTTTCTAAAACTAAAACTAACGTTTGGAAGTCTTTTTCTTCCCGCGCTTTCACGCACGCGCACCACGTTCACGCAATACATTACACTTTAAATGCTATTAAGTTATTTAGTTAATATTTCAAACTAATAAATTAATAAATTAAATAAGATTTTAATGAAAAATTTTTCATGATTGGGGCCAACGAAATCGATACTTATCCAGGCATTTCACGCGTTTTTGTTCAATAGATATACCGTGTTTCTAATTAAACCTTTTGATAAATATTTCTTACTTTTTTATTCCAAATGCGTTTTTATTTTAGATAATCAATACATCATTGTTAAATTGGTTGCCTATTCGAATACAGCACAAAATTATAAATACAGAAATTTATTTAACCGATATAAACGTCAGTAATAATTCAAATTATTTCAAACCTATTAAATCAAACGATTTAAAAAAAAAATCAAAATTTACGTCGATATTAATTAATAATAATAAGTTTTTCCCATGAATTCATATTTAATTCTAATCCATCCAAATTAAGGAGACCTACTCCACCGACAACGATGACAGGAAATACTTTTAACCTCAAAGATTGAGCTGCGTAATCTAATTTTTAAATCATTGAAAAACTAAATCCTCGATCATTGCTTTTTATTAAGTTTAATCGGATGATAAAGCAAGTTTTTCTCGAGAGGTCCAAAGAGGTTATCTCAAAGAGGTGGCGTCACACGCGAATTGGAATCGATCCGAGCCACAAATGGTTCAGATTCTTGTCCCTTTTAAAAATAAATCGGGTAATTAGGACGTAACTTCAATTGAAAACAAAATTAAGAATCGTAAAAGATGTTGAATATGTTGGTGGCAAAATTAAGCGAGAGTGTTGGGACTCCCGAACCAGCTTTAAGAATCTTAATATCGTTATTATTAGGTGAATTTGTTATTTTTAATAGAATTATTATTAAAAAAAAATTTTTAGGTTACCCCATCGCTTTATACCATCGGAAACGCCTCTACAACAACGCCCCAACCTCCCAACACCTTTACTTCATTATAACCGGATTTTTATTGGGCTACTTCAATTACGGCTTTGATATTTGCCATGCATTGATTGCCATCGTTTTTACTTATTTAACATTAACGTTCCTTGGGAGTTCTTCGCTTTGCGTTGGGACTGTTTTTTTGTTTAATATGGGTTATTTATTAATTGGGTATCATTATTCTGGTACCAACGATTACGACATAAATTGGACTGTGCCCCAATGCGTTCTTGTTTTACGATTAATTGCGGTTAGTTATGATTTATACGATGGGAGGCAACCGATTGAAAAATTATCAGGGGATGCGAAAAAGACCGCTTTGGCGATTCGACCTAAATTCTTGGAATTTTGTGGGCATCAATTATTCCCAACGAGTTTTTTGATCGGACCGCAATTTTCAATGAGGAGATATCAAGATTTTGTTTCGGGACAATTTGGAGATCAAGTTGGTTTTTTATAAACCCTCTGTTAGTCGCGCATGTATCGGGCACATACATGCATAAAATTGCTTGCCCTTCTGTTTGGTGATGGATTTTTAGGCAACTGTTCAATGAAAAAATTTGCAGTAAACTAAGCTTCAAAAATCGTAATTAGTCGTAAGTAAACACTTTATTGTTTAATATAATTATTATTTATAACCCCACGACGCCTTTTTCGTTTATTAATTCAAGTTAAGTTGCATCTCTCTATAAACATTTATATTGACGTTAAGAAATACGCATGAAATACGTCAACGTCAAATTTTGAAATTAATTTATGTCAAAATGACGTTTTAGTTTTATTAACGGTTTATGAACGCACCCATTGGTAACGTTCACCAAACGACAACGTTTGCAAACGGCTCCCAATTTTAGCAAACGCCAATGGTTCTTAATTAATAGAAATAGGCTATTTCCCAAAACGTCATCATAACCTGGAATCCTTTAGAAACTTTGGCGGTTAGTGAACGTAGTCAATGGGTACGTTCATAAATCGTTAACGTTTGCAAGCGGCCCGCAATTTATAGTGAGTTTACACATGCATGGATTTAGTGGCGCCAATACAAACTGGCGCGCCAGTAACATTAAATTGCATGTGTAAACATCAGCTGGCATGCAAGTTGAAACCATGCATGAATGGATCGGAAAAGTCTGCACCCTTCTGAAATTACTGGCGCCAGTGATGAGTCTAAAACATGTAACCATGGCAACATAGGTGAGTGTCCACAAAAATACAAAATTTTTTAATGTCAAATTTAGGTTATGTTTCATTGCATTCAAATTAAATCCCAATTACGTTAACAGATTCAAAGATACTGTTTAATTATCCACATAAAACCTAGAATATATCTATTTTCGTTTCAGTTGAGGTCCTAATTTGTGTATATAGTTGTAGTACACTTTAAAATGACACTGGCGTGTCACTTATTTTTTACATGTGCCACGCGAGTGGCACATGTAATGTAAACCTTTACTGGCGTGCAAGTAGAACTGGCGCAACTACTGGCGCCACTAAATCCATGCATGTCTAAACTTACCTTTAAGCAAACGTAAAATTTATACGTTTAAGTTTGCCAACGATTCTTAATTAATAGAAATTTGCCCTTCATCAAATCATAAGAACCGTAAACCGTTTGTATTTGTGAACATAAATAGACTTGCGCAATGAACGTGGGCAATAGACAAGGTTTATATATTAAAGGTTGTCTAAGTTCCTATGCCGCAATACTTTGATTTTAAGTGGGCGAGTTGCAAGAGCAGGAGTGTTTCGTGACGTAAGCGATCACGGATTGCGCACGCAACCTCATGGCCATGTGGTGCTCCATGCCTTTGTTTAATTTGAATTGCTTGGCGGTATTATTTTCCACATGTGACGTAATGCGCAGTATGATTGCGTACGAACCTAGACAACCTCTTATATACAGGATGTCACACAAAAAACGCCCCAAGCTGTAACTCTGTCATTTATATTCCGATTTTCATGACCGAGGCATCAAATGAAATGGTTTGATAAATACTATGGTTCATGCTACAAATAAATTTTTTTCAAGGCCATCTTCAATTTTAAGCGATATTAACTTTTGTTTTTCAAATTGCTCCATATATTTGTGTTCACGTCATTAGATAGAGATTATTTTTCTGAATCCACTGATGTGCAATACATCCACTTTGAATGTAATTTTAGCAGAAAAAAGACACCTGTATATACAGGTGGTCGCACAAGAACACCGTAAGCTGTAACTCTGTCATTTACCTTCCAATTTTTATGAACGAGGCAACAAATGAAATGGTTTGATGAATGCTATGATTCATGCTACAAATAAACTTTTTCCAACGCCATCTTCGATTTCAAGCGATTATCAACTTTTGATTTTCAAATTGCTCGGTATGTTTTTCTTCACGTTATGGGATAGAAATTGTTTTCTGAGCCCATTGATGTACAATACATTAACATTAATTGTAATTTTAGCAGAGAAAAACAATTAAAACGTTTTCCGAACATTGTCTTAGTCACTTCTGTAATACTGCAGTGTGCCATGGAAAAAAATAACACACAAAACTGATAACAGTCATTAAATGCTATTGCAATGCCTAAGCAGTTGTAAATGATACTTATAAGTTGGTTTTTCATTTATCCCATGGCACACTATAGTATAATACAAGTGACTTTAAGAGAATGTTCAGAAACTATTTTAATGTTTTTCTATGCTACTATTACAATTAATGTTGATGTATTGTACATTAATGGATTCAAAAAAAAACTCTATCCAATAGCGTGAAGAAAAACATACCGAGCAATTTGAAAATCAAATGTTGCTAATCGCTAGAAATTGAAGATGGCGTTGGAAAAAGTTTATTTGTAGCATGAATCATAGTATTCATCAAACCATTTCATTTGATAGCTAGGTCATGAAAATTGGAAGGTAAATGACAGAGATACAGCTAGCGGCGTTCTTGTGTGGCAACCTGTATATACAGGTGTCTTTTCTCTACTAAAATTATATTCAAAATGGATGTATTGTACATCAGTGGATTCAGAAAAACAATCTCTATCCAATTACGTAAAGAAAAATATATAGAGCAATTTGAAAAGCAAAAGTTAATAATCGCTTAAAATTGAAGACGGCCTTGGAAAAAATTTATTTGTAGCATGAATCATAGTATTCATGAAACCATTTCATTT